TAAAAACCTTTTTTTCTCAATGCTAAAAACAAGATTTCTGTTTAAGATACTGGGAAATCAGTCTCTTACCAGGACAGAGAACAAAGCTCCTTTAAGCACTGGCAAAACTGAGCCTACAGCCTTGTAGTCTGCCTAAAAGGAGCCTGTGTTTCTCGCTCACAGCTCAAGTTCCCGATTGCTCAGAGTGCTCAGGGCTCCCCACGCTCCCAGCTCCCTGACCACCCCTGCTGCTACCCCAGCAGGACACAGGGAATAATAATTTTGCCCTTCACATGGCTGCTGCAGAATGGTGCATGCTGACAAAGGGCTGTGCCACACGTGTTTTCTCAAGCTATATGGGAATGCCCTAATGGTGCAGTTAGGAGCTGAAACCTCCCTCCATTTCTGTTACCCCATCACACCCAAACCCTCCCTCACATCTTGTTTACAGCCCCAGTCTCTCAGCCTCAAATACACTKCACGAGAAACTGCTGTGAGCAGTCCCCAATCCAGTGTTGTCAGAGGGGACAGGAGCTGTGGCAAGTATATCCTCACTRCTGGGGCAGCACCACTACTTAGGAACAGTTAACCAGCTACAGCCTCTCTCTGCTAATGCTCTTCTTTCTGAAAGACCTGCAGAGGAGGCAAGATAGCAGCATCCATGTTTCCAGCATCACCACAGTCCAGCAGGAAGCAGCAGTGTCAGCCCGGAGCCTCAGGCCCCCTTGGAAGCAGCACCATTTCAAGATGTGGGGCTGTGGGATCCCAGCTGGAGCAGGCGTTCAATGCCACCACCCCGGCCTCTCTTTGCAGTGCAGAGAGCAGGACAGGTGCACACAGCACTCTCCGGAGACACGAGAGTTCACAGAGAGTTGGAGACCAATTGAGAGGAGAGGAGGCAGCTCAGCAATCTCACACCGGGAGTGTGGGGGCAGCACGGGAGAAAAGCTGTCACCCACCTGCAGAGCACACCCGAACAGCAGCTGCATCTTGCAGGAGCCCAGAGGAAGCTGTTATGTGCTGCCTGCAACTGGTAGAGCAGAGCTTGGGCTTTCTGTTAGAATATGGAGTAAACAGGGGACTTTTTTGCCTTTATAAATAGCAACAGCAGAGTTAACTCATGCTGAGGTGCASCAAGCTGATCTGCCTTACTTCCTCATTGACATGCCTGGCTGATCCTGGCAGAAATCAGCAAAATGTTACAGAGCAGCAGGAAAATCCTATGGCAGGTAACAACATGGTGGTGGCTGCCTGGCCTGAAATAGCTTATTTCCGCTGGAGAAAGTTACACACACACAAACTGTTTTATTTGAATTGMGAGAAATTTATTTTCCCACATGTTGAATCATTCTTAATGTTTCATCTCATATCCATTGCTCTGAATGAGACAAAAACAGGTGTATTTGCCAACTGCAGCCCCTCCTACTTTCCAGGGAAGTCACAGAGGGTTTGCTTGGGCTGAAAACACAGGGATCAGAGCTACTGGGTTKGAGGAGGGCAAAGGCAGGGCCCTGGATAAAAAAAATCAGAGATTAGACTATTACTGCTTTTCTCCTATTCTAGCTCAGAAGTGCTAATCCCAGAAATCGTGTTCTAGGGTGACTGAAAGTCAAGTTGCAATTTCCCTTCTTGGGCACCACGCTGTGTTTAGCTCAGCTGCAGACAGGAAGTCCCTGTCAACAGCTTGAAACAGCACTCTTGGGCAGAATCCATCTGAAAATGCAGCCTTCCCTTGCAGGAAAAGCATTATAAAGAGTTTGATGCTCTAAATATACATTTAGGGCTCTTTTCCCTGAGAGATGCCACTTGAACAGGAGGACTTTCAAAAAAATTGTAAACTACAAAACCCCCAAATGTTTTGAGTGACAATATTTATTGTTGCTTTATAACTCTGCAATAAATTAGTAACCGAGGGCAGAGGTACAAAGCTTTGAGGAGGATAAAGTTCCAAATTTGGTCTGGACACACATTAACTTACCCTGTAACCACAGACTGAATTGTGGTGGGTGTATGCGGTGCTGCTGCAGCCTCCCGAGTCTCCAGGGGAACACAAGAACAAACAGAGCTCCACAGATAACTGTGGGACATGCAGTGTATTCCATGGCCCCCTTCCATTTCCCTTTGTATGAGAACAAGTCTGTTATCAGTGTTACATGATTATTACATTCCCCMTTACTCACCGAGGATGTATCCCTGGAAAACAGCACAGGAGAGAGTTGGGTGTTCTCACAGTGCCCGGACAGACCCCACAGCATCCCCCTGTGTGGAAGCTCAGCAGGCTCCGTGAAACTGTCATGGAACAGCTCGGAGCACAACAGGGCCTGCAGCTGGTGCCAGAAATGCATTCCAACTCCGCTTCCCCTGTCTCTGGTAACTCAGAGAAGACCCCACAAGTAAAGAGCCACAGCTGGATCATCTCCTGTGGGGTGTGTTGGTTTTGCCCAGACTTGCTTTAAAAAAACCCGCAACAATAAATAACCAATTTAATGAAGCCCTATCTTTTACTCACTGTACTCCTGAAGATCTGAATGCAAGTCCAAGGAGCTATCACTTTTGCATAGTGCAGTTTGACTGACTGGGGTCTTCCCACACACAGTGGATACACAGTTCCATAAACTTCCAGCCCTATCCCTATAAACCTGGTATCAGAGAGCCCAGGCTGCTGTGGAAACACAGGCAGGGCTAGTTCTGCCTGAAGGAATTTAGCAGGAGCAATTTTTTTCTTGTGGTTTTTTTTTTTTTTGTGTGTGTGCGGAAGTGCCAAGCATCCTTTAGAAACTCACCAGAGGCAAGGAACTTTGCTCAAGATTAATGTTTCTTAAATGGTAAAGAAATGAAGAGGGAGAGAAGAAAGTCAGGTTGTAAGGCTTGGGGGTAACTAATGTTTTGTCATTTCTACAGCACAGGTCACACTGTGCCACCCACTTTTTTTTATACTTTCCAACACTTGTATCAGATTGAGGAGACAGAGGCAGAACCCAGACATGAGGAGTAATTCTGACTGCAAGTCTTAGAACCKCTGAAGTGGGGTCTGTAACAGAAGCACTTTCACCAGAAAGACAACYGCAATAGCAGAACTGAAACATGAAGTCAAGGTACATAAATAGAAACTGCAGAATTACAGGATGAAGCTTTATCTTTTTTTTAATTGACAGGTATTTTCATGTGGGAGTTRCAAAACCAGTTAATGACACTGTTACAAGCCACTGTTACTGCCATGGAGGTGCGAGCAGTTTAACTGGAAGATAGGGACTACAGGCAGAGAACTTCCTGTTATTTTCCAGAAGTTACTTCATGCATCACCCCAACAAAAAGGGCAGGTCAACTGAAGATCTCATCCAGCAGCACATGCGAGAAATCCCAGCTTTTGGAGGTACCTGTGCTCATCCTTGCTCATTTCCTCTTAAGTAAAACMTTATTTCTAACTCACTATTCTGAGCCTGGTCTCTGAAGAAGTGTGGGTTTTTCTATGTAATATTTTTCTGGTCATTGACGTAGCGGGTGGGATCCATGTGAAAAGCCCTCAGCTCATCCTGCTTTTCGCTTSAGCCACTCCCCCTCTTGGCTGAGGAGCTCAGCTCCCTGCACTGGTGTCACCCCGAGCTGGGCCCCGGGTGCCACCACACAGCTCCTCCCCCCTGTGGCCACACACAGAGTGACACAGACCTTTCCCAGTACCTGCGGTGCCAGAGCAGCCCTCACAAACCAACTCAGCATCGAAAAGTCGGCAACAAATGTTACTGTAATAAAGCCATAAATTTCTACAATCATTTTTATTAGTTATGGAAGAACCCCCACTAGTATTTACATAGTGCAAAAAAGCTGTTATTACTCCAAAAAGTACGGTAGACAGAACAGTTATCCTTCATACAGCAAAAAAGAAATGGAACAAACCCCTTCATATTGTATTCGATAATGGTTTTTCTACTGCTTTAACCTAAATATCATATAAATTTTAAGACATTAAACAGCTTTCTTTATTAGAATCTATTTAAAAAGTAAATTATATGAACTATTTATGAACATTTAGAAGGTGGGCTGTGCCAACTGGGTTTCTACTTTCAGCATTGCCATTCATTGGTGAGGAAATTTTGGGTCAGACATTCTCATGTTCTTTGTGTGTGGCAGGGTGAGTAGAACTCCCCCATTCCTGGTTTCTATGGCTTGTTTCTGCTGGGTTTTGTTCTGTTAATAAATTGCCATGTCTAATTTTTAAATGGCTGACACTGAAATCAACAGTTTCATTAGTTGGCACAACTTCACAAGAAATACTTAATGACAGTTTCAGCAACAGCAGCTTTTCAAACAATAATACTTTTTTACATACATATTTAAAGTAACATTATTAAAATTTAAGCTTGTGTTAAGGAACCGGACAGAACCACATYGTGTAAGCTCCCACCCACCCATAAAGACATCTCTTAGCTTTACCAAGAACACCAACAAGTGCATTACTGAACATTTTCTATAATGAATTTTTAAAACACAGGTCAATACCCTCTGTCACTGTTTAGCTCCAATCCGACAACAACCTGCACACAATTTAAGCAGATAAACARGCCACCAATTTAAGCCAGTGGCACTAACACTCCAAAGCATGTGTGAGCAGGATCAGCGCCTTAAACCTTACTCAGACATTGCTACTTGGTCCAACCAAGGACAGAAATTCKTCGGAAATTTTCCCTTTTACAGATTTGTAATCCATATTTTATTATTGACAGAGATACTTAAGAGTATTTATATAAATAGGTTGTATACATAGCCACCTCTATCAGTTTTAAAGATCCCTACCCCTACCACAGATACATTATTTTTTATTTTACCAGATAAAGTAAGTGGTGAAATCATTTCTATRAACAATGCCTTAAGAAAAGTAGATTTGTTTCCCGAATAATTATTTTCACAACAAAAATATCTATACACCTATAACTACAGAAACATCTTTTCATGGGGACAGTAACAACCTGTATAAACTGCACACTTTTACACTGAAATAGAAATTCAACTACTTTTTTTTTAAAAAAAATCAAGGTATTGTAGAACATTTGTATGCTTTCTTCTTAAATTGTTGATAATAGAACCAAAATTACCACAGTGAGATATTCTCCCTAAGTGCTTCAAGTGGCAAGGAACTTCCCTAATTTCAGATGCAAATGGATCACTCCCAAAGGAATTGCAATTTCACTCTTACAGTTATTGCTCATTCCCAGCTTATCAAAAAGGAAGCACTAAACCCAGTTTTCTTTACTCAGTTTCAGTTTGCTCCCCTAAGGGTGATCTGCCACATTTTAAAAAGAGACTAGTTCCTTATTTGCTGGCAAATTGAGAGATAATTGTAAGTGCTGTATCACTTTCAAGAACTCTATTAAACCTGTAGCAAAATTGCAGTTAAATAGTGGGCTGAATATTACAAGACTTCTTTGATATAAATGTCAGAAAATTTTAAAATGACAGTCCAAGTTCAGAAAAGACATATAAAAAGATGCGCCTTTGATGTTAATACTTCAAGATCAAAAGTCATTTGAATCACTGGCACTGAAAAAGCAAAAGAAGAAACTACAAACACCTTTGTTTTTTGATGTTCCGGTGAAGTTTTGCCCTCAGTGTATGCACTAATCTCACCTGTGCTGAGATGTGCTTACACATCCAAGGGCGAGTTTTGCTTGTCAGCAGTTCAAACACCTGTCATGTCCTAAAGCAAAAACTTTTAAAACATACAGACAGTAAAAATCTGCCATAGGGACAGTACAAGGTTTAACATTCAGGAAGCATCATTCCTTAGTCTTTGTTTTCCTATGAAACGCCTGTTCTAACACCTAGGAAGGTTACATTAAGGAGCTAAGAACGTGACAGAACAGCCAGTTGTCGTAGCAGCTCTCTATACTGCTTATCTACATAGCATTTGCTATGCCTATAGCTATCAAAGCATTATTTACATAATACACAGTTTCTATTATTCTCATTAGCATCCAAAAACCCAGGGCTAGATGTCTTCTAAACCTGGAGTCTTATTTTCCCAGTGCAACTTAAAACGCCAGCATCACTACTACTATAAACATTGGTCCCATGTTCCTAAGTGTGGACTGAACACCCAACTCAGCTAACTTCAGTTTCCTGTGGTTTTCAGCCTACGCAGAGGCTTTTCATGCATTTTGATACAAGTGATCAAGAAAAAACAAGTGAAATGAAAAGAAACATATGTTTGCTATGAAAGTGTTATTYACGTGAGTTACTCTTTGGCTACTCTTGTAGTGAAGCTCCTGCTGCTGGCAGTTTTAGGATATCCCTTGCCAATACCAGACAAAGATGGAAAACAGACTCCTGATGTGCAAGGCTTAGACACAAACTCCAACCTCAGTCTGAAACAAATTCCTCAGTTAATGCATTTCACTTCAGTATTTGGAGCAGAGCATGAAACAATTCTCTAGCAACAGGTATGTCTCAGGAAGGGCATATTTTTGTTTCTTTTACCTCTGCACCACTGAAATACTTCCCCAAACTACAGGGCACTTCCTCCTTTCYTGGAATAACTACTTTCTTTTCTATTCAGAGGTCAACTCCTAAAGCCATTACAACTGCAAGAACAGACAAAGAGATCACATTTTCAGCAGGAGTTGTTAAGATAYATCCTGGTCAGGATCACAGCACGCAGGTGAACGCAGAGATAGCCACCATACCATTCACACCTGTTAAAGGATTATTCTTGCTTTTTGCAATGTTATGCAGAAGACAATATGCAAAACAGCATTCCTGAGGTAAGTGACAGGAGAGAGAGGAAGTCATCAGTTTACTAAAAGCCCTGAATAGGGATTATGGTTAGTGAGTCACTTAGTGTGGTTTGGCAGACAGCAACTGCAGAGAGAATGGAGAATTTCTGTTTTCTTTCCTGTTTTTGTTTTTTTTTTTTTTCTTAATGAAATATTTCTACCTTGTAAAAAAACCCTGCAAAACATTAATTATATCTCTCTGGTTTAAAGTTTTTCTGGAATCAAAGTTATTATAGCTTATCATAACCAGCTATCAGCAGCTTTTTAATGATGCATTCACCRAGATCAACTAAAATGCTGCATCTATCTTAGCGTAAGAATCATACACAATTTCTCTACTATTTAATTCTCATTAAGATTATAAATGGCTTTTTCTAGCTTTTCTTGAAAGAGAATAAAAATTTTCCTTTTATTTCTAGATAGGACTAGAAGGGCATGGCCAAATACATTGACAGGCCTAGTAAAACCCCATACCACCAACATGAATCGTTGGTAATTTGTGTTAATATAGGTTACCTGTTAGAAAATAAGYGAAAGAGTCACAACTCAAAAGAATTTTGCTCAAAACTGGTGAGTTACAAGATGCTTCCTTTTACAAAAGATCAAATGAATGCTTACTGACAAATTCTCCACACAGTTTCTAATCTGTGAAATCAATACTGATTAAGTGCTAAGCTAGTTTTTAAATCAAAAAAGTAACAGACAGCTACAAAAATATTGTTGTGAATTAAATACACGTATTAAATGTTTAACAGTGCAAAATGTTGAGATGAAGCATATGGAATAATGGCTGCAACCTTTACAACAGTTTAGTTTTAACATAATTTCTAAAAAGTTCCTGAGTTCCTGCTTATTTTTACGGCATATAGATGGAATCTATGTGTTCTTTATTCAAAGAACTGCAGATGGTGGGCTTATGTTGAGTGTTACTTGCGTGCTTATCATTTGTCCATTCTTCCCCATCAGTGAYAGGATCAGCCTGCTCTGAAGTCTCTATTTCTTCCTCTTCACTTTGTTCTGCATTGTCTTCTTCAGCACCACTAAGGGTCTTCCCRAGCTGCAGCGTCTCCATAGTTCTCTGGGTCTCTGAAACCCAAGATTCAATTCTGCTGTTAAGCTGAACTTCTACAGAAATTGGTTCATGGGCATAATCCTCATCATCRTCATCTTCCTCTTCCTCCTCCTCTTCCAGCATTCCTGGCACAAGAGTACTGGTGGTACTGGTCATGGAGGAATTCAAGAGGTCTCGGCAGCTGCCATCCAGGGATCCTGTTTCTGTACTCTGCTGCGAGGCCCATTCCAGATTGTCATCTGGTTTCACCTCATCTTTGTCACCTGTGGTGGATTTTCCATGATTTGTTGCTGAGGTAGCGCCAGTTGTAGCCAGAGGTGGTTGTTTATTAAGAGTGGCTTTTTCCATTTGGCCATTACCAGCTTTTTCTGATACCGCASCCTTGCACACGGATTCTCTCTCATTTTCAGAGGTCTCTAGCCCATCAGATGTTTCCACCATATTTCTCCAGTTTGTTTCTACAAATTTCAAAAGAAGTTTAAGTAGGKAGCATTAATTCCTTATATATGAAAATATTTCTCCTAAGCATGCCATAACAGGCTAAACAGCAATACGAGCTACTAATTTGAATATTATTCTATGCTTTCTAGAAAAATTTCCACTAGAAAAAAGAGGAAGAAAGGAAGAGGAGAGACAACAAAAAGAGCTGCGAATAACTTTGGGGTTTTACAGTACCCTCAAGCAGACATTACCAAGTTGAAAGTTTGTGCCATTTAGCTCTCTATGTAAACACCAAATGTAGCACCGAGTGTAGTCAGAGGTTACTCTCAAGTATAAATTTAAAGAACATTGCCACTCTCTTAAGTTATTCATTTAAGATTTCTCAAAAAATGTTTAACACCTGAAATGAATTCARGATACCATAAAAGAATTGACTAAAAAGGTATCATTCTCTGTAATTCACTCTCAGGCTAAAAAAAGATMAGTCTTTGAACTCCTAACAAGTACTCTCCTTTTTATATTCCTTTTCATCTGGGCCTAAGCAACTGGATRAATGAAATCAACTTTTGCTCACAGTAGAATCATTCACTGCCATCTCAAGTTTAAAAATTTAAGCTACAAGTCCTATCTTCAGAGACTTCAAATTTTAACTCCTGCTCTGTCTTCAATTCTTCCTCAGTCATACAATCAATTCTGAGCTATCAGTTTTGTAACAGTTCAATAAAACTTGAGAAGCCACCTTCACTGATGTTAGATAGTTATAACACTTCTGAGGGTTAGAAATATTTTCAAATATCATTTAGAGAAAAAATTACTTATGAAATTAACTGAAGACAAATCGATTTTTTCTTATCCCTGATTATTGTAGAACACTGTTAATTAGGAAGAAAGATTGTATTTTTAGTTACATCTAACTAAAAATTGAAAAACTCCATCTTCTTTTTACAAAGGTAAGTTTTAACCTACTTACCGTATTCTTTCTCATTGACCTCAGATATGGGTTCAGAAATAACACTACAGAATGAGATAGCACTTGCTGCAGAAGGGTTACGAGAATGACCCATGTGATGTGGGGCCTTCTTGACGTTTTTCAAGGCTTCTTCTGCCTGTTCCTGCTCCATTGCAGACACCATGTCTCTGTAGGCCTTCCTGGCCTCTTCAGTCAGGGATACCAGCTTATTAAACAGATCCTAAGTACAAAGGCAGTTTTATCAGCAGTAATCCTTATTAACAGTTTTCATTTTAAATTACTTCTTTCAGTCCAAGGAATACCACATATGAGCCGCAAGATTAACACCAAACACCTAAACTTCAATTAAGAACCAGTTCTTCTCCTCTGTATTAAAGAATACAAACACCCCACATTTATGCAACTTTGAGGAGATGGACATATTTTAAGATACTGTTTTCCTTACATTCTTAAGCCTTCCAGAGAATTTCAGATTATATTTTAAGTTTGAAAGCTAAAAGGAGATGCTGTGACCMAAGTGTTTCAGCATAGTCCCTCAGTATCATAAAAACTGAATTTMAAAGAATAGAAAYACTAATGACAGATGAGATYAGGGCTATTATCAAAGGCATATTAGGTGATGCCRAATCAATTTTTTACTACAAGGATCGTAATTGTTTACTCCAACCATTTATGTGGTTGGAATTACTCACCTCAGCACCCGAGTAGTTGAAGATACCCACAACACTAACAGGAACCAGCTTGTTCACACAGCGRCCAAGAGCCTTGCGGCCAAGAGCAAAGACAAATGGGATTTCTTGTTCCCGTGCCATGGCTATTACATTATAGAGAGCCTCATCTAGTCCACCTTGAAGGAAGCAATTTTATATAGTTATCTAGTCAGGTAAAGTCATCATATGGCATGATACAACACTCTAATCCACTTTGACTGCAATTAGTCAGTAAAACTTCCAATACACACATCAGCAGCTCCTGTGCCCCAGAGGATAACACACAATACATTTCAACTATACTGAGTACAGATGAAGGTGATACTCTGTATTCTCTATTAGCCYCGCACACAAACCAGAGTTTCACAGGTATTTTCTTATGCAGAGCTTACCTATTCTATCTCAGGAAGCCTCTGTTTATACTTCTGGTTGTGGCAAAATGTGTCGGTTGGCTAACTAACCAACTCACATTGCTCTTAAGGAATCATCCTCAAAAGCATCCAGAACTTAGGACTCTGCAAGGTGTACTGAACACCAAATGAAGTAACACATAGAGCAGACTTCAATTCTACAATATGTATTTTTCTTTAAGCTTTTCATCCCTCATGAATGAGTTTCTTCCAGAATGAAGTAGAAAATAATAAATGTGGAATAGTAATTAGCTAATTGGAATCTGGAAGTGTTACATTATGCAGAGTAACAAATGCTTCTAACCTTGCTAATTAACATATCTAATCTGCACAAGAAAACTGAAAACAGCTAAGTGCACCACTTGTTTTTATCATTTATACCTTTTGACTGAATTTTTTCACAGTTGGGGGATATAATTACACACTTGATCTTGTTTAGTTTCATGTGCTTCGTGACCTCACGCAACCCCATAACGAGTCTTCTTCTTGCTTTAGCTCTCGTGGGATCCTTTTGGTAAATCCGTTCCTGGAAGCTGACAAGCTCTTGCAATAGGAGAGTCACGCACTCATCTATTTCTTTACTTAGAACTTGGTTACAGTATCTGTCAGTAAAACAACATTCACAAGTGTCAGCATTGCTACTTCACAAATATTAGCATAACCRAGGTTTCACTGAGTATTTTTCCAAATAAAAATAATTTTGCTTCCTCAAAGCAGTTACTAAACTTTTAACTAGTCATTAAAAGGATTTGGACTGCAAGCTGTAAGTTAAAAATACATCCTGAAAACATTTGTATTTGTAGCAATATCCTTTACCTCACAAAGCCAATCAAAAATAGTATTTCAAATACAAAAAGTACTTCAATAAGTGCCTCAAGCAAYTGTTCTTTTCCTTAATTTAGTACATTATAAAGATGTATTAATAAAAAAGCCTTAATATTTTAAGAGGTACTATTACAGTATTCTCAGCATGCCTAAGTATTCCTTCCTTCCCCATCCAAAGCATATATAGCCTTCCTTTAAAAAGTATTTTTTAGAGAATACTCCTCCCACCTTGCTTATTTGCTGTGGCACCCGAAGAAAGTCTCAAGTGAGAGTATATATATATATACACACATACACACATATTTGTGTACAAACACAAGTGATCCATTTGGGGGAAAAAAAAAAAGAAGAAAATACTTGCAGAACCTTCTATTTCTGAAAGGGAAGCTTACGTTTATTAAGCTCTTACATCTACTATATCTACCCTCTCTTAAAACACAAAGGTGACTGAAGTGCAAGCCTTAAATTTATATTAATAATGCAAAAGTCTTACTCTCTGAATCTCTTGCTGTGAATTTTGGTTATTGCAGAAGATGCCATTGGACTGCCTATTCCAGAACTAGCRGGTGAACCCTGTGACACTGGGGTCATGCAGTACGGAGAATTCTGACTTGCTGGAGACAGTGAAGTATCACTAGGCATACTCAGTCCAGTTTCTGAAAGACAATTTTTAAACATTATAAAATACATTTTTTCTGTAAGAGGAACAGAATCACACTTTGTGTATTGCTCCCTTATTTCATCCAAATTACATTGTGAAAACACGAATTATTTTTCCCTCCCCTTCTGGAGGGGTAGGGGAAATGGGAGAAAACAAACTGAACACATATCCACCACTCAACATGGAYTGGATAAATRAGCAATACTTGGGCATTCATCAAAACAYCTTGAGCTTACTTTGGGAAATTAATAGAACAGTAGGAGAAAACCTGTTTAAATGCTATTTCACCTTCTAATAATTTCTTACTATTTATATATATAAAATATTCAACTAACTTATTCCTAGAATGCTTAGGATTTTCCCAGTTTAGACAGGCAGCTCATTCAGAAGTTATGAAGTAGCACATCTGGAATTCTGACAGACACTTCCCTCCCCGACTCCCACTGCCCCAAACATGTTGAAGACATTTAAAATTCTTTGCAATTTTTCAGTTGCTCAGAGSTGCTGTAGCAAATTGTCAGTCCAGACATTGCAGCTGATAGACATGTTCAACAAACTGGAAAACCCTATTTACAGKGTGCAGCTTCTGTATCTGGAAAACTTTCAGTATGTTCATAATTAAAAAGAACTGTGAACAACGAGGCTTGGTTGAAAACAGGTTGAAAACATTTTGCTTGCTTATCAACACTACTATCAACTCTGATGTGTGTTGGGAAGACCCACTTGAGATGATAATTAAAGTGCTCTATGGAGATCACATACTGATAACCCACAGTGTACTGAGCCTTCCACAACTGAGGGACAGACAAGGCATTTTAGAAGAGGGTTTCAATTGCTAGTATTTCATAAAGTTAAAAAAAGCTAAAAGATAATACCAATAAATTGTGTGGCATAAAAAGAGAAAGACAAAGTATGAAAATAGGCAGATTAATACAGTTGAGGGGGTGTGCTGGGAGTCTAGAAATACAGAGACTAACCTTCCTGAGAGGCCAGCTCCTGAGACTGGTCAGCAGTCAAGTTTAAATGAGCCTCTTTCTGTTCATCAGAGCTCAGAAGGCTGTGGTCAGCTGATAAACGGCCTTTCTTCTCTTCTCTCTCTTTCAAAATAATCTAGAAACAAAACCAACAGCTGTCAGCATCTGAAAATTGTAGAGATACCTGAAAAGAAAAAACATCCCTTTCACTGAACATAACACAAAGTTAAACAAATTATTCTGAACCTTCCTACTCATGCCAGGATAGAAACCCTTGAAATCATTTCAGTTTCCTCTTCGACCACAAAGTCCTTCATTGCAGCATTTTATAGATGGTATACTCAATACTCTCATACTTCTACACAAACAATATTTTCAATAGTTTAAGTAATTTCACAGCTTCTTTTCTGACACATAACATTCCCTTATTAACAATTTTTCATCCCCTGCCTGTAAAAAAATACTTAATGCAAACATGCTAGGCATCTTTGTGAAGCACCTAGTAAAGACAATCCTTTATATAAAAGAAAGTATAGTGCAAAGGTAAATACCCATGGACATACTGGTATTATGATGTTTAACAGCAACAACATAAAAGCATTGACAAGAAAGTGTCTAGAGAACTCTTCTGAACAGGTGAATTCCTCTAACCCAGATCACAGGCAGATCAGAAAAAGCCTTTCACACTTGCATTTTTAGGGGTCACATCTTTATTTTGTACCTTCTGCTCTCCATATATACTCTATTCCTTCTATACCTATTTTATGACTGCCTGTGTATAGATATATACAAGAAATTATTTCTAAATTTACTCMATTAAAAATTGTGGGTTTGCTTCAAGTTCTACACCCATCTCTATAAAAAGGAGTACAAAAATTAAGGTTAGCATACCAGCCACATGAAAAAAAGACAGAAGTTTTGCCATGTGCCCTAGTGTCTGTAGTTAAAAAAAGAAAACACCCTTGCAATCTGTATTTAGATACATTTTTATCACTTTCAACTAATTCTGGGGACAGACAAGTTACATGCCTAGATCCAAAGGACAGGACATCAGTTCAGCAGGAGCTAGAGGCAGAAGCTCCTAACTCACTTGCACTATGCTCAAGGGAACTAGTCCACAACTAAGAGAACACCAGTTTTTATTTGAGTGTGGGTCAAAAGACCCCAAGGTTGGCACATTTACCTTTTTAAGTGCTGTAGGGCGTTTCAGTTTTGCAATCTCTCTYTCTTTTCCTCTTTTCACTTTTGGGGCAGTCGAATCCAAAGGATTAAGGCAACCCATAGATGGCTGTCCCTTTGTTAAGGACTTTCTGCTGGCAGATTCTTTGGTATGAAAGGGAGCAGCACTGCCAACTAAATGCAAGACAGATACTAGTTTCACCAAAAGACATGTCAGCTTTATTTCAACACTGTTTTCAGAATTTCCACTGATGAATTCTCTAAGCACATTTTCCTTCCTTGGAAAAAAAGCAGTTCATAATGACAGGAAAATTACATCATCAGATATTGTTGCTTCCAGATGGTTTTAAGCTTTCTTCAACTTAGCTTCATGTTTTAGGAAGCTATGGATTCCAGGAATTATTTTAGCAAATGGCAAGGGGATWTGAGAATTCTCTCAAATCACTACATGTAGCTTTATYAGTTAGATAATTATGGTAAGGTAAATTCCAAGTATTTATTCAAACATTGATTTTCAGTTGTTAAAGACTTGAATAGTTGACAGGACAAAACAGATGAGAGAGTGCAGCATGTAGTCAAGTGGATCTTTTGCCAGAAACAATAAAACAAGTGCTGGCTYCAATGGAAATGCCAACAGTTCCTTTCTGAGCTTTGTTTCATATAACCTTGCCAACTTGAATTAATGTTTGAACACTGCTGAAACTCAAAGCAGGTAAAGGAAGAACACACCAGAAGGAAAATGGTAACTATGTGCATACTGATAGACTCCRGGCTACATACAAGTGCTTAGGAATGAGATTGGCAGGTTATACTAAGTAATTACAAAAATGTCAACTCTGTAYTTGGCAGTAAGTATTAAAAAAGCTAGTTTAATGTTGTGTTGATAAAGAAACAGCAAACAAGAAAGCATAATTAAGTCATTATATACATTCATGATGGAACTATAACGTTCTGTGTAAGTCTAATCTTCTTTTAAAAAGATACAGTAGAGCTACAAAAAGTTAAGAAAAAGCAATATGGATTCTCAGAAAAGATACTTCCAGAATTAAATAGCTAAACAGACTAGCTATCTAGCTATTTAGTTCTCACTTCCCTTTTATTCTCACTTCAGAGACATGACAGACATCTAAGAATCAGAGGAGGAAAGCAGGGAATGATTGCTCAGTCCTTGCAATACAAAGGCTACGAAAACTAACAGAATTATGAGTTAGGGTACAAATAACTCCTTACTGACCCCCACTCCAAAAAAAAMCAGCAAAAAGAAAACTTCCTCCACATAGGATGTAGCACAGTTAGAATTCAGTGCCATTGGATATTATGGATGGTAAAATCATAAGACAGAAACAATGAACAGTTTAAGAAACAAATTTGGTTTAAGAAAGCCTTGGGTCARGATACCCTGAATCATACGCAGAAGAAATGGGAAGAATATCCTAGGGAGATATCCCTCCATATCATAKCCATAGATATCCTCTCTTTCAAACAGTATTTTATACTATCATTTGTAGATGTTCTTTTCACATATTCATTTCAGTACTGAATTACTCTCAGGACATAAATCCTAAGTTTTGAATAGCAAGTCTTTTAAAAGACATTTGGCSTCAGTTCTATAGGGATTTTCACCACTGCATACTGCAGCTGAGAGGATGATAGYACAGGTAATTTACTGAGAAATACATTAAAAATAATCTTTCACGGTTTTTATCATGTTTATATTCAAAAGCTAAAACTTGACAGAGAGAAAAACATTTAAGACACTCAGATCAATCACATTCCTGTTGGCACAAAATGTATTTAGCCATTGTCAAGCAGAACAGAAATACCTGTGTATGAGAGGGGCCGGGTGTTGGTGATCTGACGAGCCTTCATTGCTTGCTGCTGCTTTTCAAGTGCTGCTARCATGTCACCCAAGTCCAACTGAACAGGGGTCTTGCTCTTCTTTCCAGCTGCTTTTGATAAAGCCTCCTGCAACAGGAAYATCATATACAATAAATACAAAGAAATGGTAGCTGCAACATTGTTTGCAAAGAGTTACTGCTATTAGAGAGTAAGAGGAGCAACAGGTAACTGATACTCCTCTTGACCAACTGCTGGGGGTGGACAGGGTGCTACACACTTGAAGTTTTTTCTGTTCCATGCTTATCTCTGAATACTCTTGAGCTGTTGCAAGAGCTGCAGCCAAGGCCTTCTTCTTCTGACTTTTTGCACGCTTTGGTACAGAGGTTGTAATGGGAATTGGAGTTTGGACWATATTGATTGGAGAATTCTCTGGTAAGTCGCCCAACTAGAATTTTAAACAAAATGCAAAAAACCCACAATTAAAAGACCTTTCTCTCCAGACCATAGAATATGTGGCATTTCAGAAATCAAATCACCCAAGGCTTTGATTACCATGACATCCTRATTAATTACAGATAGATGACACAGCAAGTTAATAAAACTAGAAACTTACTTATATTTCATTTTTGCATAGGAAAGCTATTCTATTTAGCTCCAATTATGGCTTCAGAAGCTTTTCCAGTCTCATTGCTAAATAAAGAATTTCCCCCTCCCAAGGATTTCACATAGGACTTGACTTTCCTGGAAAGCAGCCAAATAGATTAAGCAGTCTATACGCACAGTTCTGCAACAAAATATTTAAGTAGATCACGTACTAAAAAAAGTACCTTTCCAACAACTGCTTCCACAGCCTTAAAGAAGATGCAGTTTATTTTGAAATGAAATTATACAAACTGTAATTATTTTGAAAAAGGGAACACCATGACTATATATCTGCAGATTTCACAATTTTAACAGATGGCTGCATGAAAGCATTATGATGCAGCCATCCCTTCCAACTTGGGACAGTCTGTGATACTGAGGGTCTACAATATRTATCTTACAATCTCATTAGCAGAGAAAAACCCTAAAGTTTGGGGTTTCTTTTTTAAGATGGGTTCCCTGCACCACTTATTTTAATTGTCATTTCTTTAGCATCCAAGGCTGATCAAGATCATCACAGTAACTACAATGTAAGTCTTGTGGCAGAGATTCATAAACAATTACACATAMTGAATAGTCTCAAAAGAGAATGCTCTGAAAAACAAAATAATGACTYACTACTTTGGGTGAAATCTTTTGCTGGATAGTACTACTTTTGCTGCTGCCATTGTCACTATTTAGCTCTGGAAATTCATCTTCATCCTAAACAATACAGAAATTAAGAATAAAACAAATGGAATTAAAGTCACCTGAGAAGCACTGAGTGAAACGGCTAAAGGTAGAAAAACAAACCAAATTCCTAAGTTCCACATAAGCTAGAATGGATTAAGTGAAATTAATAAAAAATAACAAAAAATTAGGAAAGTTTTTCTGTATCCAAATAGTATATTTTTTAAAAAAGAAAATTACCTTTTTTTTTTTTTTTTTTACACAAAAAATATCCCTATTATAATTTCAGGGGATAAACCAGAGAACACATTTTTGAATCAATCACATGTGAACAGAGAAAGTTACTTGAAGGCTGCTTATAATCTGTCAATCACAGACAGTTCTAAACAACCAAAACAACCAAATACAGGTCTTTGTGTATATAATGAAAGAATCATCTAATGAGCTAGTGACCATGACTGTCCACCTCTTGGAACCAGATATTTTGTAAGATCCCACTGAGAACATCACTTATTCAACGCACAGCTTGCACTGCTACAGTGTGGAGACAGTTTTCATACAATACCTCAAAATACAGCGGTTCAGGACTCTGCTCTGCTCTGCTTGCCTGGCTCGCAGCTAAAGATTTTTCGTGTCGTTTCTGCAAACTCTGCCTTCTTTCTGAAGATGTGCTGTGGTCTCTGCATCTGAAACCAGACTGAAAATAACAAATGTGATTGGCATTTTGCAATTTCAATTTTTCAAAATGTGTATGTGCATGGACATAAAGCTTTCTCGTGCYTGCTAATTAGCAACTAGGTACAATTTTTACAGGATAACTTGTGCTTTGGTGTTTTGATTTTTTTTTTTTTTGTGGGGCCTGTCTGGTGGTTGCTTTTAGTTGTCTTATTTTAAATTTTTTTTGTGGGGCCTGTCTGGTGGTTGCTTTTAGTTGTCTTATTTTAAAGCCTGCTCAAACATTATACAAACAGTACCAGATTAGTTTCAAATGAAAATAGTTTCTAGGACAATTCTGCCTCGAGGTATTGTGAATTTGGCTGAGGCAACCTCATTTAAAACTCTTGGTGCCAGCTTTGTTTTTAAATATCTAAAGTAACTGCCAGATTTAGAGTCTAAACTGTGAYTGGATGAAAGAAAAATCTGGTACTTCCTACTCTCCCAATGCCATAAACTAACAACAGTGGCTTCTAAAGTTTCTGATTTAACAACAGGTTATAAAAAGATTCAGAACTGCTACACTGCCAGATACAAGCATCCACAAGCATCTTTAGATAATAAACCCACAGTTAACCAACAGGAAGATTCAGACCAATTTAACAATTCCGTCTAAAACCCTTAACAGGCCAAGATGGCTCACATATGTTTGCACAAACAGGCACATTYAATGAAGCTCCAACTTAGAGCTCAGCTTTCTCATCTGCAGTAAGAGAGTTCAAATAAAACCCACGTTTAACAAAGGCAAATGCTTCAGGCTCCTTTCTACCCCTTGGACCACCTGACCCAATAAAATCTACCAAAATTAGGAAGACCATCTTCTCCTTCCTCCACACAAACTAATTCCAGAAATCCTGTYCCACTTGAAGAAAGTTTCACAGAAAGATATTAAAGTTTTAGCACAAAAGGTTTTGAAGTAATTAAGAAATGCTAAAAAATTATATGCTAATATAAGTTTTAAGAAGAAAGTTTTGAAGACAACAGGAGTGAGAACACAAGATTCTAGTTCACCACATCAGAATCTTTCTTTGGAAAGTTTGAGAATTCTTTTCTTCTGAAGTGTGAATGGGTCAGAAACTGAACTAACTTTTCTACACCCAAACTGCCTTCGTTTCACAAGTTACTTTATATATGCAATGTTCTTCCTAGGTAGATACATATAAACAACTACAGGCAGAACACTGTCAAACACATTAAATTTTTTTCTAATTAATTTTTATGTATGTATAGCTCAAAAAACATGCCAGTAAGAAACATGAAACTACACTTTAAAGTTGAGTTTCTATACTGTCTTCATTAAGTTTTTTATGTATGTTTATAATTAGTTTCAAATTTCTTATTTTCGCATATAATAAAAACACAAAAAAAAGTTTGATTTAAAATCACTGACAACACACCTGTGGATTATTTCTTTGCTCAGCTTGTCTTCCACCTCTAGAAAAGGTCTGAGTTTTTTCAGTCCAAGGTTTTTTTTGAGTTGCTTGGGAATTTACATTAGTCCAGCTTATACCAGCTGAAAGAGAAGTGCCATCTATGAAAAACTGAATTAGTATCCGGAACATATCATAATGATTCATATGCCACCAGAGCCAAGAACACAATTCTGATACAAATAAAGTTCTTGCAGAAAGTCTAATTCTCCTGTGACAACATTTACTTCCGTAGCTATTTTCAGATGTTGGCAGAGTCATCTTTACAGAACATTCAGGCTGCCAACAATTGATTACCACAAAGCAGTGAGACAAAGGGAATCTCAGGTTCACATCCGTATCAATTTCAGTTCACTCATAAACAGCAATCCCTGGCATTACCTACTAATACCAGGCTAATCAAACTGTTTGGTCAGGGTTTAAAGCTTCTAAAAAATGCCAGTGCTTCTTAAACTGTTCTCACTTAGTGAGAACTCCTTTGCTCTGTTACTACCCAGAAAAGAACTGCAGCCCAACAGGGTATGGACGCCTGAGGAGAAACTAAACAGAAGCACATCTTTGTGCTTCCACTGGGGTCTCTAGCTTTATTGATTGAACCCATTAAAGAAAAGCATCTGTTAATAAATCACTAATGATAGGTATACACTTGTTCATTCAGCAAGTGACAGGTGTCTTACTGGAGGTGGTTGGAAACCATAATAAAGATACATCCTCAGAAGTATCTGATCAGTAAGACCAGCATGCTGAAGTAGATCAAGAGGTTGTTCCTAGCAAAATGTAAAGCAAAAATACAAATGTGACCCAACCAAATTTTAAACAGCTCAGTCAAGACAATGCTTACTTGTATTCATCGATGGTTCTACAACCTGAAAAGGAAAAAAAAATTATTTTAGTAACTTGCATTAGTCTGTAGGCTACAAATATAGTTAAGTTACTGRGTTATGTTTACATACATTCATTGCACAAGAATCTGTGTTTCTTGAAGCCATAGCTGCAGCCTGGTTATTGCCATGCTTAGGACTACAATAGCCACTGTCACTGTCAATGTCTGCTTCACTTGCACCCTGTTCACTGGAGGACTCTGCAGCAGGGTGAGAAGTTCTCCTACGCCTGCCTTTTGACTTCCAAAGCATTGTGGAGGCGCTCTCAGAAAGTGACTTATTGGCTATATCTGAAGGAAAGTCTTCAAGAAACAATAAAAACAAAATTACTTGTGCAGGAATTGATAAGAGACATGAAAAAGCTACACATCATAGAAACAAACTGAAAAAGCCAGTCTGCATTAAACCAGTGCTGAATTTAAATAATGTCTAAATCCACCTGTTATTAATAACCAAGTCCTTCAAGAGTKTTTCTAACAGTGGCAAAGTCTCTGCAGGAGTACCATATTACTGCAACATTATAAGGTGACATATTGAGTARATATCTGCAACCATCAGCACCTTTTCTTCATTGACCTTTCGATCCATGAAGACTTCTCTTAAAAGTCACATCAAAATAGGTCCAACCCTCTTTTAGAAAAGATGACAACTGACACATAGTTCTAGTTATTTCATACACCCAGAAMTTAAGAAACAAATTACCTGTTTGCTGTGATGCATCAACCAACAAAACTATCTTTGATCTGTTCTCAGGACCTGATGAACTGGTCTCCTTTTGAGTGGCAACATTTTTCACTGGAGGACGTTTATTTTTTATGTGCATCTGTAACTGCTGTTGCTGCTTTCAAACATGAGGCACACACAAAAAAAAAAAGTTGATAAAAAAAATGAGATACCTGCTTCCTGTGCAAAGACAGGATACTTATCCTATTCAAAAGCAGACTTACTTTTTGTATGACTGGTCCCCTGTTACTGCTTCTGCTCCGCTGAGTGGACAAGGGAAAGATCTGACCTGACGGGCTGGGACGCTCAGTGCATTCTGCAGTAACTGTACTTACAGCACTTGCTGCTTGAAAGGGTGCAGGATACGGGGTAGGGAAAGGATGATAGAAACCCATGACCTGAGCACATGGTGCTGGCATCAGCTGATAATAAGTATATTCTGTAGAAACAGGTGGCTGTGCAGATATTATAGGATAAGCAAGGTATGGTCCTGCAGGATTTGGGCTGGGTTGCTGCCATCTGATGTCATTGTTATATAATGGAAACTGTCTATAGAAAAAAACAAAAGGAAAGAAAATTCAGTACATTTTCCGTTCACAAAGAAAATTCAGACCTTCATCACCCCTTCAAAATCAAGAGTTCTATTACAGTAAGTTCCTAAATTCAATATATTTTAATTATTTTATAGTTAYGTGAAGAAAACTGGATATACAGCTACATCAATACTGAATCAGCTGCATACTGTTTTACCAAGCAGGACCCAAGTTGGACACCCAAAGCTTTGCTTCATTCAGAGAAGCATCAGACATTCAGACAAAAAATCTCCTGACTGCCCTGGAAGATCCAAGACCATAGCAGGTGACTTTGGGAGGGATTTGTACCAGGAAAAAAAAAGGAAACATAGCCGGGAAATAGAAGGCAACAAAAAATATGAATGGAGAAAACCAGAGGGAAGAAAATAAGTAGAAGACTGGGGACAGAGAAACTTCATCCACACCTATGAAGGGTCAGAAGACAATGTATGGTGGAAAAAAAAAAAACGAATATAAAGCCCACAGTCACTGACTTCTCTCAAGCCTACCTGAAGTTTCAACTCATTTAAAAACAGATAATTTGCCACGAAGATGACAAYGACTTATTACCTGTTGGATGGGTTTTCCTGTACAAATGGATAGCAAGTGATCAGGTAGCTAGGGATTGGAGTYGGTTCCATGCCATTAATTCCTCCACTGTCATTAGGAAGCGCCATTGGGATCATTAGTGTTTCTGGACCCTTCTTCTGAGGAATAAATGGTTCTACTTCAGCTGACAGCTTGACATTCTTAAGAGAAAAGAAAGAATGTATTCATTAATTACAATCACAAATTGCTTGGGAAAATTCAGATTCATGAAGTTGTACGCAAAGTACCACAAACAGCAGGCAAATGGATGACAAGACTGCAGGATTTCTGCAGCAAACCAAGAGAGGTGGAAAACAGTTGGCAAGTGCTTATTGCATCCTTCCAATCAATTCAGGGTGTAATACAGATCACCAACATTTAGCATTTGTGTTAACCTTCACAAGTGCAATACAAACACTAATTAATTTAAAAGGGACTGAAGTTCAGCTCTTGCAGAGGATATATGAGTCTGAGCACAGAAAGAAACCAAATTAGCACAGTATGTGGAGCACAGTTGTGTAGGCTTTCAGAAGTGAAACCAACATATGGATGATGTAGTAATGCCTGGCCTGCTCTACAAAATTGACCGTATTTCTAGGCAATTATAAMAGAGACTTTTTAGCACTAAACCACAGTTTTACTGCTAAGACATGATGCACCACAGAAGAACCCTCCCCACATACTCTATCGGCACAACTTTAAAGTGTTAAGATTATGATTAAAAGTTGTCATGAAAAAGACATTAAAGACTGCTTAGAAGTAAGTTTTAAACTGTGCTTTTATCTCCCCAAACCTGAAGGTATCCTTATTTAAGATGGTTTTGCTCACATTTTTGGTTTTGTACAAAGATRTATCTTAAACAATGAAAAACTCTCTATTCAATAAGACAACTGCAGATCCATAGAACCCTTAAATTCCATATTCCATTATTTTCATCTGAATGTAAGTTATAATCTTTTTTTTTGGTATGAAGTTTTCAGCTTAATTATATGTGTTGCACATTGCTACCTCATGGAGTTCCAAATCCTAAGAAGATTCTTTCTAAAGCAGACAAGGACTCCAGATATTTCTCCTTCCATATACCTAAGAAGTAATTCCAAAGGGAACACATAACCTGTATGAGTACATGCTCGTATTTTAGAAACAGGAAATCCTAAAGGTTTGCTGAAGACAGTCTTCTATCCTTGCTACTACCTCCAAAACATCCACATGAGTCAGTGGGAGATCTGGAGGTATCATGGTAAGAAGTCCCACACCYACCATACACTTGTCAGCCCATGTTTTTCCTCTGTGTCACATCCACAATGCATCCAGAGACAGCCTTACCATCCAATATCTGAATCTCCAAGTTCCAGAACTTATTCTTCTTAAATAAGATCCCATATTGCTTTAGCAGCATGGGAGTGAAAGAGGTAGGAATGGCAAGTCCAAAATTTTTTTGAAAAATACARTTGTCTCAGTGAAAAAAAGTATGTCTTTCAAACTGAGAAGACACTGTTCTTGGCAGAAGAGTATTTTTAATGACTGTTCAGAAAATGGCTRTATTATGGCTATAATATATATGGAAGGGTGTCCCATCCCTGGCTGGGTTCAAGGTTCAAGGCCAGCCTGGATGGGGTTTTAAGCAACCTGGTGTAATGGAAGGTGTCCGGAACCAAATTTTTAAGGCCCCTTCCAATGCAGGGCAGTCTGATTCCACAAGCATAGAAGTACCACTACTGCTCTACAACACGGTTTGTGTTACAGCRGAACAATCACCTTAACATCAATTAAAGGCATTTCTTTATGATTAGTAGTGGGTGAACATCCATTTCTTCTACAGTAACTCCTTTCCAATTCCTGAAATTCCATTCAAAGGAAAAGCTTTGGGGTAGCTGCAGCATTGAACTTGCGTAACACAAATCCAATGACCTGCTCTACCCAGAGCTTCCTCTCTGGCCTTGGCACATCCCTCAGCTGCCTCATGATTCACCTACCCTTCTGCAAAGCTCTAAGACATTCTCCTCAACACAAGAGAAAGATCTTTTGTAGGTTTTTTTAAAATGTTTATGTACAATTATCACATAATAAGTAACAGAAACACCAACACTGAAATCCCTCACTGAAAGCTAAGAGGGTTTTTTCCATGTTATTTCAAGACTGTCAGACAAAAATATTTGCTTAAGAATAGATTCAGTTACGGGGTAGCCTGAAAAACTAGATCACAGAATATTTTGAGTTGGAAGGGACCCATAAGGATCATCAAGCTCAACTCTTTAGTGAATGGCCCATATGGGGATTGAACCACAACCAGGGTGTCATTAGCAMCCTGCTCTAAACAACTGAGCAATCTAAACATTAAAGAACACACCAAGGGTGCTTCATCCTTAGAACATGCAAGAGTAAAACCAGAATATGTGCTTCATAAAGCTGGTATTTCTAAGGAAACACTGAAAACTGCCAAACAACTATTCCTAGCTGCTGGTCACTATCCTACCACAACATGTCAAGTGAACTTTAGCCAAGATACTAATAATAAAAACTCTAGTATGGCTCAGAAAATAGTCAAAACATTCTGTTTGTCACTCACATCGGGACCAGTTTTCCCATTTTAAAAGTCTTTCCTGTCTGGTTGCCTGCCCTTTCACTTATTTGGGAGATTGATGTGAAAATACAAAAATCATTCTTTATTGACAAGTCTCTTGCAGAATGGTCTCATTACAACGACTTTTATGATATTGTACTACATCATCACTCATTATTAGGATTATGAGAGAACTGTCTTGCACATAAGGTATTAAAAACAGAGATATAATGGATCAAAGCAGGAAACAGGTGACTCCAACCTGCAAGACTGCCATAGCACAACATTTCTTGTCAATTCCCAAAGATAAATCTTAYCTCACTTTTACATCCAAGGTGGATTGGATAAAATTGATTTATTTAAATCTGTCCAGCAAAAATGAGATATGTTGGGTTTTTTTTGTTTCTTTGTCGCAAATTTATTAAAAAACCTCCAAAAGACAAAACACGCTTATGTAACTTTATGATTTTAGAAAATAATTTAGATTATTCTGCTTGATTTTGTTAGGTTCAAAAAAMTCAGAGATGCCCAAACTAGAAAGACAACTTTAATTCTTCCTGTTGCTTAGTCTTTTACAGGTTATGATTACTAATGCTGTGACAGAGCAATTGCTTGATATATTTAATTAYCATTTTCTGTACAGCTCATAACAAGTTTAGCTTGCTTGTAAAATAAAGATACAGCATATCCTGCAATCATAAACACATATGGGTGCATGTGAAAGTCCATTCCTTTTTTTTTTGTTTACAGAACTTGGAGAGTATCTGTTATTAAAAAGAATCAAAACTGCATTTCACATACATTTTACAGGCATTATATCTTAAACAGTTTACTTGTGCAGTTTAGTCTGCTCCTATAGGTTTGTTTGGTTTATGTCAGTTGGGTTTTTTTAATCCTTCAAGAAACTTGTTTCCGCAAAGAATTTAGGGTAAACCACTGTTTTCAGATACTGCATTTGGTTCTGTAATGCACACACATATGCCAACTCCTCAAAATATCAACTGAAAACCTAAAAACCTCAGTACAGGTGTTTCAAAATCATTCTGCCAATATAATACATCCAATACTCAGCATAACTTACACATTTTATTAGACAACAAGGCCTCATTTCCACTTTGGGGTAGAAGGCAGAAAGCCAGCTCAAGTTTGTTACCAACTAAACTAACTTCAACATCCTTGAAAAACAGCATTTTGCCAGTCTTTCAAAAATACTTCAAGAGTTSTGTGTTAAACAGGATGTGTCTTCAGATAGGGGCAGTAAACTTTACCAAACTTAAAATAAAAAGGGGAAACAAATGTACTAAAGTAGAGTCAGAATGCTAACTAAACCAAAACAGAGAGAATTAACTCTCCAGTGTGATTCTRCAGACATCTCAGCACATTTCACAGACCGCTAGTGGTTTCACTGGACAAGTGAGGGAAACAAAAGAGCAATGCTAAGTGATTTGTCTGAAGTTATCTTAGCAGTTCTTTTTAGGACTACAGATTTTTCAGCTAAGAGGACACATTGGTGAAGAGAGACAGCAAAGTACCCCCTCTTTTTGATAAATTGTCTTCCTTCATAGTGTAAGGAGAAAAAGTGAAAAAAGAAAAAAAAAAATCCATTCAGTACCAAGTAAAAGTGCTGCTAATTTCTCATTGCACTGCACAGGCAGAAGATTATCTCCTCTTGAAACCTGTTATTTCTTCTAACAGATGCAGTTCCTTTGGTGAGCTACAGAAACAATAATGCCAAATAAGCAGTTTCTTGATGGTGGGTTTGGTTTTTAAAATACTGCTGTGCTTAAGACTCAGTGGAAAATGCAACCAATAACAAATCAAGTAAACTCCAGAATACAAAACAAGCTCCTTTTTGTTCCAGAATCAAACAAGAAAATACATAAAACAAAGTGCATGCAAATATATGTGAACACGATTTCTCAGAGATTTCACCCACACAGTACAAAGGAGTGCCAAGTGCACATTAACCGCACAAACAGGACTGATCATGCCACTGGTTTGTGACCACAGACAAGAAAGATTTGTCAAACCCGAAAGRATTTGGTGGGAAGGCTGCTATACTTTCCCTAATCTTTACAACAGAGCACTTGTGATACAAGCTTATGTTTTAATTGCTCTCACAGTACTGAGATTTATTCTAGTCTCCATCCTCTACAACAAATCAGCACTTTGCAACTGCCATCGGTAAATGCAGGGTCAGACCTAAATACAAAACACTATGTGGTTTGATCAGGCAATCTMAAAGCAAACATTGAAAGACCAAATTTAGTTCTGAGTGCAACTTTTTCATGTTTATTCAACCTTTCGTATCACAAAACTAAATAAAGCTTTATTGAAATCAACCTTTGATAATCAAACTCAATTCTAAATATAAATCATGCTGAAACATCAGATTTTCAATCAGCTGCCTATAAATGGAAACACACCCCTTCAAAAGAAACCGATTTAGCCAGAAGTCTCCTTTGTAGATATCCCTAGTTTCAATTTACAAAATGTTTTGCTGTAGCTCATTACATATTTCAGTCCAACAATTACAAGTCTTTCAAGACAGCATATATACTGAASAGCTCCTTTGTTCCCTATATAAAAGCTACTGTAGTCATCAACAGCTGCAAAGACAGAAGATGACACAAGCAGGAACAGACTGGTAAACTTTGTCCTATAGTTATAGCACTGTACATTTAATCTTAGAAAAGTTTTTGTTCATTGTAGCTTAATGTCATTCAGCATTTTCCACTAAATAGGATCTCTGTCATCCTGCTCTCAGAAGAGAACAYTTAGATATCAATCTCACCATTTACAGGGTGAGAAAATAGACACAGATGCCACATCTCAGAGGCCTAYAATAAAATCAGCTGGTTTACAGTCTCAAAGTCTGGAAACAAGAAGCCTCATCCCAAATGTAAAATAAAAACATAGMTCAAACTTTGGGKTTTTTTTAAAGAAAAACAATCCTATTTCTGTATTCTGGATTTCAWAATTTAAATGCCATGTTAGTACTAAGGCAAGTCACAGTTCATCTATTTTAAGAYAAACTTTACAAATATGGAAGTCATTGTTTCTATAATTAGTTGCTTCTAAGTGGCAGATACCTYGGGAATGGTAAATATGCAGTCCGACTGGAAACACCAGCAGCAGGCCATTTAACGAAGCACAAAATTTAATCCTCCCTATTTACATTTACCATAGTCATTTCAACATAGCACTTAAAGCAAATACACTATGAAGTGAGTCTTTCCCTTTTCCCTCAGCTCATAAAGAGGGAAGCACACATAATTCTCTTCCCTTTCATAGTATTAAGTATCATGATCAGAACAACAAAGCTAAATATTTAACATTTTTACCTATATATAGGAAACAAGCAAGTGGCACAACATGACAAGCTGGCATGTTTAAACTCAAAGCCAGAATATTCTAAGAAAAAAGGGGGGGAAATAAAATTACACAAAGCTTGTCCAAAGATAAAAAAAAGCTACCAAAAGGATCCTCTTCGCTTACCTACTTTACAGCATTTAACAGAACAAACTTCTAAACTCATGCTATCCATATGAAGCAGTAATATTTGAATGCTTTGTAGACAGTGTACTAAAAAGATTAATCCAAACTATGCACATCAGTTTCCTAATGTCCACAAACTAGCCAATGATAAATAATTTTGTGCTCGAACAGTTAAGATGTTCATGGAATCGTATCAATAACATTTAAATTTACCAGAGAATGTATTCTAAAGACAATATAAAACTCTTACAAAATTCAAACTGTTCTGCACTTGCAAGGTTCAAGAGAAAGCAATGTGCARACAGTCCAGGAAACCAGACATTTTCCAGTTTGCCTCAATTGAAAACTCCACCACGGGTAAGAAACACCAAAGGAAACTGGATAGGATAAAGAGCACAAAGCATTGATCTAGATCTACTTCTATGGCAACCATACTAYCAAGCCACCTGTTGAGTGGTCAAGAATAGCAGAGGCAAGCAGAATAGGCTGTCTTTAAGCAATACTGAAACAAAACACAGGTCACTGATTTTGCAACTTCACCKGATTTCTCAACTGTACTAAAGGAACCAAGTGTCTTAATCACAAGGTAAAACAGAAATATAAGTCTGAGAAAAATCAAAGCGCAGCATTACCTTTGAAAGGGGAAGTTGTTTCTCTTTAGTTTTCTATAATATTCTGMTTAAACAGAAATAGCATCAGAGGTCATCTGCTGCATTTTCTCTCTTGTAGGAAAATAACCTACACACAATTGCAGAAACCCATACACTTTTTAATGGGAACAGTTTTGTTCTAGTGTAAACAGAAGTAAACTTACACACCCATTACAAAAAATCACAACTATCCCCATCATAGAATTATTGTTTTTAAACAGCTTTATTTTGTTTTCATCCATATCAGCTGCTAAAATATCACTGAGCATATTATAACAAGTCATACCAGAATATAGGTAACAGAAACCTTAAAGGCAATCCAAAAGTGACATCTTTTCATCTATCAGGCGCCCAAATRATCTTGTGACATGAAACCTCATATTGATTTACTAAGCCAACCACAAAACTGTTTACCCATCAAAAGCATTTATGATCTTTCTTTACTCTTGAAATACCACACTAACACAGTACAGTAGCCCTAGCTGCTCATACTCCACAATAGTTACTCCTATAAGCACATACAGTTACTATACTGAGCCTGATATAGCATTCTGAGGGAAAGGAAGAAAAGAATGAGTACTGCTAATGCACACTTACAAGCTTTAATATTCATTTATCAGATGTCGTGCAGTACAGGTACAGAAAGGAACCCAAATAAAGAAAAATTAAATGGCTCCCAAAACTGATGCAACCTTACCAAACACTTACACTGGTAAAGATGACTATATTCAATTAGTAGAGCACCAAAGGTTCAAACCCAAAGCATCTAGGAGTCTCCTAATCAATATGCTACTGTATAATGAGAAGACAAAGCAACAAGATTGTTGAATCATTTTAGAAACTCATCAGGTATTAATTATTTCTCTGCCTCGAAGCCTTACAAGTGGATAAGGAACCAACAATACCAGATACACTGCAAACAGAACAAACAAGATGATTCCTGCTTCAGAGCTTAACTACACCTCCAAGTTGAAATACTGCACTTAGTTAAGACAATCGCTCAGAATCAACACTTTATACTGTAAATAACACAACAACGCTGCATTTTCATGAACTATTTTGACAGATAAAAAGAAAATGGTTTGATAAGGGCATGTGTGTGAACCTCCATTACTGAAGAGCTCAAGCAACAAGGAATAAATATTTCACAAGTGTACTGCAGTACTAATTCCAGATGAAACAAAGGGTAAAAAAAAAAAACCCACACAAAATCTAAGATTTTAAAGCAAAAACTACTATAGATTGGACTAGTGTAAATTTCATAGAATAAAACTAGTTTTTTTTTTACATGAAGGCAGATAAAAAGCATGAAAAACAAAGTAATTTAAAATCATTATCACACCAGAAAGCCCAGGAAGCAAGCCACAGTGGGAACCATACTGTAATAAGACACACTGTTCAGCAACTTTCTCAGATATACGTACAGAATGAAAAGCAGTGTATCTTTAGAGAGTTCATTATTAGTCATTATCTACTTTGGTACAGGAACCTGTGTTATTATATTCCTTAATCCTACCCCTGGAGACGCCAAAGCTGAAAACTAGGGAACAAAGAGCTGTAAATCAACAATTTTKAACGTATTCTGCTRAAACAGAAGCTTAAAAGTAGTATCMGGCTGTTACAGATGACATCATTCATTTCAGATAGATCTTTTAGAACWWCCTCCTGATGATGAAATGTTTTATYGCACATATATAACAAACCACACAAATTCTTAAGTCCCACTTTAMGTTTTTTCATAACTATACTTTAAAAGGTCTCAAGATAATGCAGACTGATTACCTCACAMAGCCAAGTTTAATATGGAAGAAAAAAAATACAGCGACCTGTAGAATTAGTGAGCTACACCCACCTCTCTCCCACTCAGCTATGAGGAGACCATCAGCTGTATCATATCACTGAAAACTTCAATCCGACCCTGACATTTACACGATTTCAACAAGTCACACCTCAATTGTGCGGCAAAGTTCTCAAAGAAACCTGTTTCTTTCTCAAGAAAACAAGTCCCTACTAATGACCAGGCGGGTTTAAACTGAATGTCACTAACTGCAATCCCTAAGCTTGAAACAAAGCCTGAATAAGAGGGAGAAGAACAGAACCGAGTTTTGAATTCGCCTGGAATTGCCAGGGGAGCCGCTCCCGGGCTCGCAGCTCCCCCGGACAGCCGGGCCGGGCGCGGCCTGATGCCTCCCGCCCGGGGAGGGGACGGCGCCGGCGGACACACGGCGAGCTGCCCTTCCAGCGGAGAACGCCCGATCGGTACCTTCCGAGGGCCGCTCTCCGCCAGGCCGGGGCGGCGGCCCCTCAGGGCCGGTCCCGGCGCCCCCCGCCCCGCAGGCCGCGAGCCGCGCCCCGCCCTGCTCTGCCGTGCCCTGCCCGCCGCTCGGCACTGCCGGCGGCCCTGCCGGGACTGACACCGCCGGGCCCGCTCCCTTCCCCTCCGCTCTGCTCCGCGCCCTCACCGCCGCCCCTCCCGCCGCGGCTGCTCGCGGTCCCCTCGCACCTTGTCCGCTTTGTCCATGGCTCCAGCTGCGCCGGGCGGCGGCTCTAATGAGGGCGGCGAAGGGCCCGGACCGCCTCCCCCATGGCGCTGCTTCCCCCGCCGCGCTCCGCACACGCCCGGAGCGGCGCCGGCCCCACTCGCGGTTATCACGGGAACCGGGACCGGCTACGCCACGGCCGGGGCGGGACGGACGGCGGGGAGGGACCAGCTGGGACGGAAGCCGGGCGGGCTCAGGCCGGGCACGCCTTTGCTCCCCCCACGGCGGGTGTTGATCTCCCGCGTTCCGGCCACCCGAAAACAAGCGCGGCTGTGACACAAACGGTGCAGAAAGCCGCGGGAATAAGCGAGGGAAGGGTTGTTCCCCCCGCCCGGTGCCGTTCTCCCTGCGAGGAGCGAGGGCGGCAGGTGCGCTGCGGGCCCGTCTGCTCAGGGGCGGCGCTGGGAGAGGCTCAGGCCGACGGTGTCCTTGAAATTATCTGGAACACCGAAAGGATAAAAAAMCCCTGTGATTTATTTAGAGGCAGAAATCTAAAAATGTCGCAGCAGCGTCTGGAGCGCAGGGCCGAGCTGTGAAGCGGGTCCCGTGTGTGCGGGACCGGGGCGCCAGCAAAGCGGGGAGATTCTGAAACGTGGGGTTTGGCACAACGTGTGTGACGTTCCTTTATTTTGCTGCCCTGGTTTAAAAGTGYGGTTAATTATGAGTAACGCCAGCGAAATCCATGAGACTGTTCACCCCGAGCCTAGAAAATGGGAAACGCGTGTAGGAGCCGTGCTGCACAACACATGATCCCGGACGTGTGTTCTGCAGGGGATGTCCCCGCATTTCATTACGCTAATAGGGCTGCTGCCTCGGTTTAATGGAAATGAGACATGATTTATTTACAACTTGGTTGATTCATGGCAAGGGGGGGGGAAAGCAGAACTAGACTGTGTACCTTTGTGAAAGGAATACACAAAAGGATGTCCCAGAGCAGACTTGAGCACTTCCAGGTGAAATACATTATAAATGTATTATGTATTAATACAACAATCAGGTTTCTGCCTGGTAGAGGTTCTTTTGAGTAATAAATAGCTTGCTTTTTTAAAGAAACAAGTAAGCAAGTCCCTATCTGAATTTAACAAAAGTAAAAGCTATCAGCAATGTCTCTACAGACCAATCTTGCTGTAAGTTCCTAGATGGAATCTTTATTTTATAGTTATTTAATCTTTTCAGATTTATGTTTGTGATATCATGAAAAAWTTTTTCCTACGTCAAAAAAATTCTRTTTCTTGGATAAATCCACATGACCCCTTTGTATTTCCCTAAGCGTTGCTCTTCACCATTAAAACTTYATATGCAACATATGGGATTAGGAAGATGACTATTGCATTGTGCAGCAAAATCTCATCTTGCAAACAGATGACATGAACAGAGAATTGTGCAGACTGTTGCTACCTTCTGTGCTATTCCATCCACATCAGCAGGATCACCATTAAAGTGTAATTTTGCCTAGATATCTGTACCATCACAGAACATAAGTAATTCAAGTTTTCATGAGGTCACAGCACACAGAATCATAGGTCCATGGAGCATATGGGAAAAGGAGTAGGKGAGATTGTAATCCCAATTAAACTTAAATTTTGAGTTTCTGCTAACCTCAGTAAGGACAAAGTTTTGTTACCAATGAAGAGAAGAGCAGATTTGCTGTTCTCTGCAATGCCCTAATTGATAGAGAAACCCATCTGAGCTGGAGAAGCTGCCRCAGTTGTATGCTTTATATATGCACTTCTGTATCCAGGCTCTTTTCTTGACAAGATTAACTCATCAGCAGAACTCACACCTGTGTTTGTAACTGGGAAGCCACTTCAAGGTGGTAAGATAGACTAATTTGAGGTTATGAGGTTATGTTCCCAAGATCTTTTACACAATGAGATTTGTTATTTCAACACGGGAAGTCACAAAAGTAAAACTGGGGATTAAGCTGGTTGTATGCAGAGTTTGCAGCTGATGCAATGGAACAGCATTTCATCAGTAATTGATGAACTTAAATATGAGATAGAAATCTACAGATAAATAATTATGAAACATAAGCCACCTAAACTTAATCTCATTCAAACAACTAATCTCTATTGAGCAAAATGTATTTCATTCCCAGTAGTTGGACGTGTTTTGCTTATTTGTGTGAAATTAGGTTGATTTATTTCAACTTAATCACTTTTCATCTCCAAGTAATGTGGGAGAACTTGCCTGACTGGACAGAAAACAGTGAAAAAAATCCCACTGAAACAACTAGAACAATCATCTTCTTGTATTAGCACACCAGTGTTTTAGTGTGGAATGCAGCTTAATTTGTTCAAATTGGTGCTGACCATGGAATATATATTATGACATTTGCTTAAGATAGTTGCTGTGTTTTTAAAAAATAATGACTCATTATGGCAAGGCTGTCCGTTATGAAATTCTTCTTTTGTTCCCAAGATACATACCAACAGAAAGGTCACACTTGAAAGGGCTGTTATGCACACTCAAATAACAAGAACGTCTAAGATCTAAATTGGGCAGTGATTAAATAGACATCAGATCTACATAAATCTGTACAATATACATAATACACGAAGTCATGTTGGGTGACCTGAGTGGCCACTCGGGTGAAAAAAATCTCAAGTCTCCCATAAAATTTAACTGTGTTATCACCAAAAAGAAAAACAAACCAAAGCACTCAGAACCAGTTATGTTAGGTCCTCTATCCACAGCTATCACAAATATGCCAGGGTATCTGGTTACAACATCATCATCTTGATCAAGTGTTGTGTAAGAGAATTCAACAGTGTTACAGTTAAGGAAGCCATCAAAAAATTCTAAAAACACTGTTGAATTTAAACAGATTTGGTAGCTGATTTTGAATACCCAATGGTAAGGGTCCAGTTCTCACATCTGGCAGTTTGYAAACAATTATTTCTACTTCTTTGTTGCAACACGAAGTGAATAGTTCATATGCAAAAATGATGGTTGAACACAGCAGGTGCTGACTGCAATTTTTCTAGTAAGTTTTTGGCTTTATTGCTGCATCTGCTGGGTAATAGAGATATCCTTCCTGAAACACAATGGAGGATACAGATCAAACRAAGAAGAAAATCTAGGTCGACACAAAAATAAGAAATGGGAGACTAAATTAAAATACCTCAGCAATTTGGAAAGGCACTTGATAATGACTGTATTCAGAATCCAAATCACAGGATTACAAGCAAATCTAACAGCACGTGTGGCTACTCACGCCCTTACTTACATGGGCTCTATTTACATCTGATAGGTACAAAGTCCTACAAAACACACAAGGATGCAATTACAGACCTCTCACTGAAATGAAGGCAGCTTCTAATATTGAAAGCTTGAACATATGTACAGGCTTAATGGCCCTGGCATGGGAGCATAAAGTAAGGGTTGTTCAGTAACACCCTGCACCAGAAGGTCTAGGCAGGCTCAGACTCAGTTCCACGGCAGTGGCAGCACCTGAACAAGGACTGCAGCAGCACCAGTGGGGCTGGAGGCTGCCATGGTGAGCAAGTGGAAAAGGCAGCAGGAATAAAACAGACTCCAAAATGACAGTTTGACTGGCCCAGGACTAAAATCTTCAACATAAYTAGTGAAAAAGAGAAGGACAGAAAGCAAAGTATGTCTTGGCAAATAAAACCTTATCTGCTGATGTGATGTGGTGTCCTGCACAGGCAGCCACGGGCAGACACCCCAGGGAACACAACTGGAACCAAGTGGGAAGGTAAGCTGGGAACTGCTCCAGGAGCCTGAGAATCACGATTCCAACAGCAACATATGATTATTACCTGGCAGCAGCCAGAGTGAGCCCAGCACTCCCACCAGGAGCAGCTGCAGAGAGAGGCAGCAGAACCAGCCAGGACAGAACTGCCATGCAACTCTTTCTAACACGGCCAGGAAGGGATTAGCCTCTACTCTTGCTGTAATGCTTACACTTACTACATCTAAAATTCAGCACTACATATGCAATTATTCTAACACAGATAGTTTGCAATCTACCTTACCACACAAAGGCATTTAAGATAGTGATAATCCTTTCTTAATATCTTAATTAACACTTAATGACTAGCTTGTAATGTATTTTACCTAGTTCACTAACCTGGTTCTAAAATACATTTCTAGCACTTTGAAAATGATAAAGTAACAGCTACACTTTTATATTTAAAATCCAYATTAACATCYATATATGGAAATTTAGTTCAAATAATTRCTGTATTTTTGAGAAAGCAAGGGGTACTGTCCCAAGTGATRTCATTTTTACTCTACTCCATACATATAGAATTCCTGCTCAAGTCAATTAATTCACTACCTCTCAAAGACAAAAATATGAAAATACAATCTTCAATTACAATCATGTTTTACAGCTGACAACTCCTGAGTAATTATGAAACCAGAGTTTATTTACAGACTACAATTCAAACAACTTCATTTTATTATTCTGTTGTGTGTATTTCAACTGCCTTGCCATTTTTCTGGGGTTTGTCACTGTTGTTCAATGTATTTTTAGGCCTATTTAAAAGGGAAATGAAATTAAATTGGTTTCAGGTCCAATCAATTAGAGTAGGACTTTGAGATGCACAAAGAATAAATTCCTTCAAAGTATGTTTGATTAAAAATAATAAAAATCTAAAATGCAGACTTAGCACCCACATCCTTCCAGATTTGCCTGTTGTTCAGTTTTAATGCATAAGCTGCCAGCAACTCAAAAGAAGGGTTTATATTTACACAGCTTAATCACTGTTGTAATCTTACATAAGATTACAACAGCTATTAAAATGTTCTTTTGCAAACAGTGTTATGGTAACTAGCTAAGATGCCAATTTGTTTTGGACCAAGAGCAACAAGAGGTGTTCCAAAAACACCCAAGAAGTTTTGACCAGTGTGGTTCTGACAGTTAACAATTGCAGAAATTTAATGATTTGACCCGAGACTGAGAATGCAGTGAAGCTGCTTACCACATTTCAAACAACCTGCAGTGCAGCAGTGTTCCTTGAAAAAAAACAAACTCATTCACCCTCTTCAAGTGCTTATTCACTTTTCCTGAAGAGACAGAAATAACACCAGAGCCAGATCTACCAGGGACTGTAGGTGAGCTACAGCAACTGTTGGTGATTTCTGCTGCAGTTGTACAACAACAGCTCCTCTGTATTTCCCCAGAGAAAATCCTC